ATGCAGCAGTGCAGTGTTGCTGGTATGGGTGAGGGCCTTGGAGCTGGTCTCTGGCTGCGACGCCTCCTCTCCCTGATGCACCTGTCACCTGTGGTTCCCACCAAGCGCGTCCCTCTTCCCGGCCCCCGTATAGCGTCTCCACGTCATAATTCATCACCGGCGATGTTCTGTGTGTCACTTGCCGGTGACAAAGCCAGGTCTCGCGCTTGCTTAAATATTCAGGGACTTTAACACCAAGACAAAGGTCACTGAAGAGATAATGAACAACATCACAGTACGACACTAATGTCTTTCTGTTCATTTGGGTAATAAATCATACTCCTGACTTACTGCGGACGCTTTATTAGGTACACTTAGCTAGAATTGGGTTTGGACCCACTTTTGCCTCCAGAACTCCTTCAAGGATGGATGAGCTGCTTGTTCAGATCACTGTAGTACCAAACTGTTTCTTTCGCACTTGCAGCCTCCGCATTAGCTTTAACGAGTCTGGCCATTCTCGTCTGATCTCATTCATTAGCAAGACATTTTCCAGCAGAGAAATGCCAGTTACTGGATTAGATCTGTCCATCATGCCATTTCTCTGTATATTTTAGACACGGTAGTTTGCGGATGTCCCAGGAGGATGGCTGAGTCACTGATGTTGGAACCATCACGTCTGACATCAACAATCACATCACATTCAAAAGCACACACAACTTCTAACGTTTAACCTCACAATAACCAAACTTCCTCTGTCTGCTCTGTCTGCATGCTGTGCATATTCAGCTGTAGTCACATGATTTAGTCACATGACTGACTGTTCAAAGGGGCTGGCTGTTTGCATTGATGAGCAGGTACGCTTAATGAACTGGATACTGAACTAACATTCATATTACATGACCGTGGAGCAGTGAAACCAATGAACGGCATAACAGTAAAAGTTTGTCTTCTAACACTTGCCTCAGTCTGCCAGTATCTCCCAGAACGTCTCGCTTTGGTTTTGATACTAAACAGCCTGGTTGTGGCCTTTGATCTTCTAGCAACGTAATTCTCCCCCGAAGTCAGAGGATCCACAGCCTCATGTAAAGCAAGAATACAAAACATTACACTAACTAGATAAAGCTAGATGCTGTCAGAACGACAACCATGTATCCCCCAGATGCCACCTCCCGCCCCCCCACACCGAATCCGTTCTCCCCCTACACACTCACCACCTCTCAAAAAAATCTGTATTAAAAGCCCAACTTTGTGTGGCTTCTCTCAATGTAATCAGATTCTCCAGATCTCCATCTCAACCTGTCCTTCTCTTTGTCACCACTAAAGGGCGCTGCTTCGGTTTCAGCGCAATTTGGATAGCGTTGCTAACTCTGTAAATAAGAGTATTAATAGTTCTCTTAATGTATAACAATTTCATCAGTTCCTGACCTTCACCCATACAACCAGTCTGCAAAGTTTGAAAAGGATCCCAAAACCATATGAATTCTCTGTCCCAGGAATAAAGAAATACATCCATGTCTTCCCTCCTTATGAATGAAAGCTGCAATTTAAGTGAATTAGGCTCCTGAGCGAGCCAGGGCAGGGGTTCATGATAGCTGCTAAGTGAATAGACTCCCATCGGCGCGCGAATTAACCGCAGTGAACTCCTACAGTTACAGTTATTAGATTTCATCTGTCTGGTCATTCATCATTAGTTGGAGGATGGGATAAAGGGTTGCCATACGCCTCAGCGCGCTCCCACCCTCCCCACTGCCTACCCCAGGGCAGGGAGTGGGGGCCTACACTGGATTATGTGTGAGGACCCCAGGGATGTAGAAATTCAGAATCCAGAACCAGAATGATGTGCATTTGCTATATACAACCCGAGTACAAGGAATCTGATTTGGTGTAACTGGTCACATCAAAAAGCAATTAAGTGAATTACAAATATACCATAACATAAAGCAGTAACAGCCAGCCATAAAGAGTCACTGCCAGCCAGCAATATAGAGTATTTACAAGTAAGCAAAAAAATACCAAATTTGTACAAGTAGGCAGAACGAGATGAATGCAGACGATCCCCTAATTAGCTGGGTCCACCAAGGCCCCCAATAGCGTGGGAGAACATCCACAGCTCTCTTTCATTCCAAGCTTGAGAAGACACCACAGTGTCCCTCCCAAGCTGCCTCAGATCAACAAATGAGTCAAAGATGGCCTGCCATTAGAGTTATGTCTCGACGTCACACTTTCCCTCTTCAGCACCATGGTGACGGCCGGAGTCACTGTTGTCCAATCAGAGGGATACACAAACCCCAGCAGCTTCTGTCATTGGGGCTGCTTTGGCACTGTTTCCGAATGCTGACAATCGTTACGCAAAACAGCTGCGTTCTTGCATCATTCAACAAATGATCCCAGTTATAGTGTATGCAGAGTTCACCTCGTATGCAGTGACGCAGTGACAGCTACGCGATGCCTGCTAGACAAACTTGTGAAACAACGACCGGTTTAGCGCCTCGCTAAAAAAAGGTCACAGGCACTAGCATTGGGGGGCTTTAGTGCCTGGGTGCTCTTGTCATTATAATGAGCTCTTTATACATGACTAAGAGCCATTAGACTGTGTCGCTAATACAACATTCTGGGTAATTAACCTCTGTTGCTGTGGGCAATAGTGTTGCGACCCAACATCTCAACATGGCTGCTGTCAAGCCTACTGTGGGAAGTTTCGAGCCACAAGGAGCCGATCGAGGTACGGTGATGCTCGAGGTTCATTAGAGGTAAAGAAGGATGGGAAATGCGAAAAAATAAGACATTATAAGGCGTCCGACTGACCAGAGTGGCTGTTCCTGCGACCTTTTTCATCCAACCACCCCTCCTGGGAAGCTCCATTCTGGGAAGTAGAGCCAGTAATACTGCTGATGCTGTAAGAAGCGTCCAGCCATTTGAGCCAATTAGACTGACTCGCGGTGTCCACAATGATGTCAGGGTGCCCATTAAAGCACCCGCAGTGCATGACCATGTGACCTGCTTGGGGGCTATTGGCTGGAGCCAGAACCGCCCTTTTATTTTGAAATTCTGTCTACTCGCCAATTGTTTTTTTTTTTTGGAGGACGGATCAGCAAGGCGGGTGAGACCTTTTAGGGCAGTCGAGGGAGTCGGTGGGGTCTGGAGGCCGCAGGGCGATGCGAGAGATGAGGCCTGGATAATCGCGTTTCTAAAGGAGAGGACGACAAGAGGCCGTGGAATGCGCCGCAGGCCCACTCGGTGCGAGAGATGAACAGGAGCTCTCAGCAGGCGTCAATGGGCCAGCCTTCATCTCCGCACTTCAGCAACACTCCCTGGCCTGGCTGTCGCCGGCCTCTGAAGCAGACAGCACCACGACACTCCGAGGCCTGCCAGTCACCGGCCTCTGAAGCAGACAGCACCGCGACACTCCGAGGCCTGGCGGTCACCGGCCTCTGAAGCAGACAGCACCACGACACTCCGAGGCCTGGCGGTCACCGGCCTCTGAAGCTGACAGCACCACGACACTCCCTGGCCTGGCGGTCACCGGCCTCTGAAGTTGACAGCACCGCGACACTACGAGGCCTGGCGGTCACCGGCCTCTGAAGCAGACAGCACCGCGACACTCCGAGGCCTGGCGGTCACCGGCCTCTGAAGCAGATAGCACCGCGACACTACGAGGCCTGGCGGTCGCCGGCCTCTGAAGCAGACAGCACCGCGACACTCCCTGACCTGGCGGTCGCCGGCCTCTGAAGCAGACAGCACCGCGACACTCCCTGACCTGGCGGTCGCCGGCCTCTGAAGCAAACAGCACCACACTCGAGCCCCCGGCGCTGCTCCCGGTCTGTGTGACACCAACGAGGCCTTCTAGGTTAGTGCTTTGAGTTTGTGATGAGCAACTTTTCACATTAAACACGTTTACTTTACTTGAAAGGACCACAGCACTTCTTGACAGTGGTTCGCATTAAAGGATATGCAGATACATACTGAAATATTGATTGTTTCAGGCATTTTTTTTAATTTTTGAGAGTTGATTCTAATGTCCAAATATCGACTTTATTTGCCTGGTAATTTAAATGCTACTATTAGGCAGGGCCTCGGGAGGGGCCTCGGGAGGGGGCGAGGGTGAGGGGCCTCGGGAGGGGGCGAGGGTGAGGGGCCTCGGGAGGGGGCGAGGGTGAGGGGGCGCAGATACTGGGAAAATGGAATGTTTTACTGTCCGCACCAACACACACGCCCTGCTCAGCAAGCATGCTCAGCAAAATGAATAGCAATTGTAGGAATTGGTATTGAAATATTTGGCATCAGACTGAAATGAAAATCAGTGGCCAACCCTACAATGCATATCCAGCATATTTGACCTCTGCCACACCTCCATTCGGGCATTTCCTACAACGTCATTCAACTTCCTGCTCCTCGAATGAAGATTCTCATGCCCCTGATCAGTACCTTGTAACTCCTGGGGCTGTTCCTGATCAGACTCAGCAATGGTTCACATGTTATACCCAAAACTGTTACACCTGGTGGAAAGACAAGTGCAATCTCTTGGCCTAACATCTCATGTCTTTCACATTTGTAATAACAGGTGCTGAAATTTAGTCCGTGTCCAGCATTGGTGACAGAAATACAATTTCTTCCAGTCCTTTATCCAGTACAACTATGCCTGTTACCCTCCCAGAAGAACCTTGTGTTCACAAGGCAACGGATTAAAAAATAAATCATCTATTACATTTATAGCTACTTTTTATGCCAGAAATGACATATTGATGATTTGATGCAAGAAGACCCGTTTTACATTGGTGAGTTTTTTGGAAAGTTATGCTGCTCTGAAATATACAGTGAAGATTTAGAGATCAAATAAACCGTCAGTGAAAAAGAGCGAGAGAGAGCTGAAAGAAAAAAGAGGCTTTGAGCTTTTTTTGAGGGGTGTGAGGCTAGGCTGGTGTGGCATAATCGAGTACAGGAGACAGAAGGACCTTATTACAGACGCAGCGCACATTTGCAGGATTAAAGTTTGCAGTCCGCGGGCCGTCAGGGGTACTCACTGCCTTGCCATCTGGAAAATGTTCTCCATGTCGCTGGTAGGAATGGCTTGGCTTCTCTTACGTTTCCCTCCACTGGTTTTTACATGAGGGATCCTAGTTACTGGCCACCCTCGGGAACCTGGAAAGGAGAAGGGTGACAATGTCACGAATGTATTGCAGTGATGACCATCTGGCCCTCGAGCTCCCGAGATTAAGAACAGCCCCTCCCTCACTTCACGAGGACGACAGGAGGTGCGCGGGAGCTGAAGACTTGACTGTGGGACCTTTCATTTATACAACTCTGCTGTCTGTGCCCGCTCTGGGACAAAGGGGTAAAATCCTGGCTGGGGGGAAGATGGGCAATTGCCCAGAGGCTCCACTTCAGAAGGGGAGCTGATTTAGCAAATACCCGCCCTCCCCTCCCCTCCCGGAAAGTAAAAGGGCGGGGGGGGGTGTGTGGCAGTGGTCAATGGCAAAGCTTCCTTAGGGCCTCGCATGTGATTCGACTGGCCCCTCCCTGGAAAGCGAGCCAACCAATGGAGAACGGACAAACGGCCAACAGGCCACTTACAATTAAACTCCCAAAGGTATTTAAAACTGTGTGGGCGTCCCGAACACTTGGGGAAACCCAGGGTTGAATGTGGGGAAGTCATTTTAATTCCATCTGCTATGGAATTCCAGTGGAGCCGTTTCAGCAGAGCGACAGGAGGCTCTAGAAACATCCACAAAACAAAAAATTGCTCAAAATGAAACCACGTGCATTTCTTATGTTTGTGTGTGTGTTTTTTTGGGGCTTAATATTGTTTTTCAAATAAATGATAAAAGCGATTTTTTAAGTCATCTTGAAAAGTCATCGCCTTGCAAAGCAAATTCAATTCAATATTCTAACTTGATTCGAGGCTGGCCCCAGTTCCCACTGACATGGTAATATAAGGCCAAAGTAAACAAATCGTTTACAGCACCCAAAGGAGAAATTTATCTTGGCACTTGCACAAAATGGAGGGGGTTAGGGGGCCATTGATACACATACACTGCTGTGTCGAGCAGCTGAAAACATGTACCCCAGACGACATGACTAGGTCTTCCTTTCATTTATCACACGAGAGGGGCACACCTTCACAGATTTCCCCTTCCCATTTTTCTCCGAGGGATCCGTGTAATGGGAGGTGCTCACGGATACGGAAGCTGTTTCCCAGATCATGGTAATGAGCTATTTCTGTCTACGGGAGGCTCTGCCTAATGCGAGTCAACAGCCATGACAGCGATAACAAAAACAAATATATTAATGACGTTATTAATATGCGCCACGGACCTCATCTCGAAAAGTCAAACAGACAATTAATAAATGGATGAATTATTAAGAATTCCCGGACCGCGTGTGTACGTGCGTGACAGCTTTGCTGTGTTGTGCGTCAATGCGTGAGTGTGTGAGGTTATTCTATGATGTAATATGAAAGTGAGCATGACTGCGTATGTTTGTGTTAGACGTGATAAGGGTCTCTGTCTCAGTGTACACTTGCACAAATGCTAATATGTATTTTTCATTGTTCCCAGAGACCAAATACTATCATCACGACAGAACTATTCTTACCACAGCTCTCCAAAACCCATTACTACATTTCTCTCTAAAGCGTCGACTTCGGTTCTCTGCTTGTCAACACAGCGACCTTTATGTAGTCAATGGAGCAAAAGGACTTTAACAGCAGAAAACCACACAGCAATTTTTTGTGGCGGAAGGGAAAAAAAAACAGTGGAGGTAAAGGTACTTTGTGATAAGCCTTTCGCGAAAGCGTGAAATGCAGACGCAAAACTCGCTTAATCGCTTTATTGACCAAATACCAGCCACAAATGCTCAGAGGTCACTTTCAAAGCAAGGTATCGAGCCACTAATGAAAAATGTGCTGCTCGCTCAGGGTTACTATAATGAAAAAAAGGATCCCAGGCCACTATGACAGAAGTAAGAGTTAGGGGCTCTTATCCTGCAGGTTATGGGGTCGGATCCCGTTGGGACCACGCCTCTTTCGAAACCCGGTCGCGTAACAGAATTGTAGGTACACGGGAGATTTATCTGCTCAGTACCAAATTTGCTTTATTCCCTAAGAGTATCTTCTTCCCGATTTCCGGTTTAAATCAGCGTGCAGCAAAAAGATGGAGCGAAAGCCTTCCGAAAAAAAAAGCGCCGGCCCTGAGCAGGCACAAACACCCTGCATCGTAGGATAATGTACCAAGACGGAGGGTTTTCTGACGCTCTGGGTCACTGTCAGTTTTCGGGGCAGAGCTCAGATTACAAGTCGCGCTGGACCGCGTCCTGCAGAGTCTGCACCGCTCCACGGAACACAGTGTCCCTAAATTTGCCCAAACTTGAATATGTTTAAATTTAACACTAAAATAGTGTTCCAAAGCTGGGATTTATAAAACTTGCTTATGACACTTTTGGAGGTTGCGATGCTGCCCACACTCAGGGATTTAAAATCTGTGTAAGGATGGTGTAGCTGGCCCACTACCAGTGAACACCTGCACCAATGCACCATGGGATACGATCCCATTACAGACCCCTGACTAACACAACATGACCCCCAGCTTGGCAAGCAGCCCACACAGAGCTTTAACTAATGGCCACATTGCTTAAACACATCTGCTGCAGTGCAGGTGTGGGTCTGGGGGGGTAGCTGTGGGGGGGGGGGGGGTGTATGGGAGGTTGGGCACTCCACCTGGGAAGGGTCCATATAAATGACAGGTCCCCTTACTCACCACACCCCTGAGATTTCCCGTGAGCTGATATGAGGAATTGTTTTAGGAGAAAGTAGCTTTTCACCATAATGGAATCAATACTGTGTTTTTTTAACTATCCCCTTCCTGCTAGCCACATTTAGCTGGACCTTTAACTAATGGCATATTCTAGATGGACTTAACCACTGTTAAGTTCATGTCCAACCTGTGAGTGTACTTCCTCTCCATTCTCTTCATCCAAGCCTTTAATTCACACCTGTTATAAGGCTCCATTATCTCCTTAAACACACAGTCTTATGAACTCAAAAGATTTGATTAGTATTTTATAATTAATATCTGATCATCCGAGTCCCACTCAGCCTTCAGGAAGTGCCTCAAGATCCATTTGTCTAGCCCTCCAATGACCTCATCCAGTCCTCCAATGACCTCATCCAGCCCTCCAATGACCTCATCCAGTCCTCCAATCACTGACCTGCTTTCACCTCTTTAACTTCTTTTTTATCTGTGACCCCTTAGTCAGTCTCTTCCATACCTACTTAGCATCCTGCATGCTCTTTTTGTGCCTGTCTTTCATGCCCTCTTTTAAAGTTCTTGAAATGTCTGGCTCTGGCGCTAACTTAGACTAGTTACTGGTTATACACTGGTAGCTCATCCTAGTTCACTCCTTGACAGCCATATGTTTGTAATGTGCTACCTGCCTCATCGCATTGGACACGAGTGTCTGCTAGATGAATAAACGTAGCCGCAAATGTAACATGCCAAATGTTTTTGGTTTGCTTGCAATCCATTTAGAACAAGGTGACAATTTTTATTGATATCAACAAAACTAATATACTTTTATAAAATGTAAATGATAAAATATTTTGACATGCCCTTCCTGGGTGGCACAGTGGCCATTAGCATGGTCTCACAGCTGTGAGATTTCTGTCTGTGTGGAGCGTGCATGTTCTCCCAGTCTCAATGGCGTTTCCTCCGCGGCGCAAAGGACATGTATTCTAAATTTCCCATAATGCCCTGCCCAGTGAAGGACTGTAATCCTCTCCAGGCTGTTAGGCTCCAAGCATAGGCTGCAGCTCTATACAACATAAGATGGATAGAATATGTCACCCTTTTATAGTATAGAAAAGGGAAATTGCAATATAAATGACCTGTGTTTAATAACATTTCTTACTTTAAGGAAACAGAGTTGGAGTATGAAGGTATGGGCCCCGGAAGGCATGGCCGTCATTCTGCGGTCACCGTTTAACGTCAGATGCCATTAGCCGCTTGTCTCAGCCCCGTCCGTCACTGGCCCCCATTAGCGGGGGCTCTCGGTGGCTCTCTTACTCCCACCCCCCCATAAGCCTCCTGTTCCTGCTTCTGCCAGGGCCCGTGATACTCAGTCCATCTGGGCAGTACAGATACCACTGAGGAAGCAGTACAGGTACTGTGTACTTCGCCGAATGGACCAGAACTGTGAGAGGCAGCACCTGTGATCCGCACGCCTCTGTGAGTGAGGCAACATGGCCGGAAGCAACCAGAGGCAACATCTATAAATGGCTACAGTGCAAGGTGTAAATAATATCCATCCATCCATCCATCCCAACCACTTACCCGGTGGTTATACAGAGCTGTGGTGAGCGCACATGCTCTAGGAATTCTTAATTTCAGGAACCACAAACTGGGCCAAATTTAGTCATTGTTGGGGTTCTACCTACATCATAAAATGTTGCTGTAAGAACTGGAAAAAAAATCTGTCTGGGCCCCCATACACCTTGGGGCCCTGGGCTACAGCCCATGTAGAAGTCCGGCCTTAACCACAAGGCAGGGGACACCCTGGAGAGGATGTCAGGCCCTCACTGGGCTGCTGGCTTGGCGGTGGCACTGCTTGTCCCCAAGGCTACGGTGGATGGGATGGGGACATCAGTTTCTCTTTGAGGCTCTGGCAGATGGGATGGGGACAGGGTGGAATAGCCAAGCTACAGTCCTGCTGTTGAGTTTTTGGTCAGTCAGTCTGCGACAGCAGGACCTCAACATCCCCGACCCGCCTGCCTCGTCTCCTCCACCCTTCTGTGTTCCCACAATGCCCTGAAAGGTGTACTCAGGTATTGTATACGCTCACTCATCAAGAACTGAGATGTGTGGCAATGAATTAAAGTTAGAAAATACGCTTAATTTTTAGTGATTTAGCTTTACCACAAATGCATTCGATATTAGAGTGGTACACTTACGCGTGCATGTGCCCAAACACCACTACATTCTGCTGGCTGCACCTGCTTGTTCCCCATATAAGTCACTGATCCTCTGCATCTATATTGTCTCCCTAACCCCATCCACACGCACACTCTGATACCCACAGAGCCCTTGTTGTGCTTCTTCGAAGGAAAAAAAAAACATAATAACCTCAACACGCTCAGAATTCAAGCTCTG